TGAACTTTGAGGTCATTATGCCATTAGTGACCAGGAATGTGGTGGAGGACGAGGGGCTGGGGAGAGTGAGGCAGTGAGGAGGCTGGATGAGAGAGCTGAAGAGATTTTTGTGCCGAGACCGTGAAATTTCTGGGAGAGGAAATGGCTTCTGGTAAAACTTTCTGGAGATTTCTTTATGATATTTTTATTAAATCCCTAGATTGAGCCCTTTAAGAAAAGCTTAGCTGCCACTGGAGTCAGATTTGTGCCTCTTTTGACTGTAGCTACGTGCAAATCCAGCTAAATTGCTGAGGTGAGGTTGTGGGAAGAGTCCGTATTAGTTGGATTAGACCTGGCTCTGAGTAGCTTACCAATAATTGCCAATTGAGGGATCACACCGTGCCAGCTCTTGGCAACACTTGAAAGCTGACCTGCTCATCTCCTTTCCTTGCTCGCTTGTTGGGATCCTCCCCAATCTTCGATCCCTGAGGAGCTGGGATGAGGGCACATGTCTCCCTTCCTCTGCATTCTGGGCCTAGAGGTCTGAAGCAGGGTCTAGAGATAGACTGGGGCAGGAGAGGCCCCCAGGGAGCCCCCACTCTGAGTGGGAAGACTGAGCGCTGCCCTGAATCAGTGCCAGCGGTGGAAGTGCTCAACCTCCTCCCAAGGACCACCCAGGGAGAAAGGAGAGCTCTCACCCTCAAAGGCGGTACAGTCTGAAGGAGGAGGACACGGCCTCTGCTGAGAAGGCAGGAGACAATCTGGGTATCAGATTCGGGGTGAAGTTCTGGGTGGCAGGGCTCTGAGATGGGGGTGGTGTGGAGGGACATCAGGGGTAGAGCTGGGGCGGGAGGGGGCAGAATTTGGGGTGGGGAAAGGCTTGAGCAAGGCCTAAGCCAGGGTTGGGCAAACTTTTTGACTTGAGAGCCACAATGGATTCTTAAACTGGACCGGAGGGCCGGAACAAAAGCATGGGTGGAGTGTTTGTGTGAATTAATATAAATTCAAAGTAAACATCATTACATAAAAGGGTACGGTCTTTTTTTTTTTTTTTTAGTTTTATTCATTTCAAATGGGCTGGATCCGGCCCGCTGGCCGTAGTTTGCCCACAGCTGGCCTAGGCGGAGGGAGGAAGGGCCTGAGGCCGGGTTCCACAGCGGCAGGCTGTGCTCCAGCATATCTAGGCGGTAAGATCATCGGACTCACCTGCATTGGTTAGTGCCAGCATCCAAGTGCTAACCATTCGCAGGAACCCTTCCCCAGCTGGGCAGTGCCTATGGTATGGCAGGTGTAGCCAAGATCCTGGGCTGAGAGCAGGGATGTGGAGGGTGAGGTTCCTGGTTCCCAGGGTGAGGAGGGGCTTTAAGACATGCCTAAGGCTGGTAGTGGTTTCTCTGGAGTCCTCCCTACAGGGGAGCTGAGGAGGAGACAGAGTATCACCTAGGACCTCTCCCATCCCTCCCCCCATCCAACTCCTCTTCAAATCTCACCTGTCTTTCCCAGGGCCTTGCTCTCAGCTGGATGCTAATTAGTCACCCCCAAGTGTCAGCAGGTAATAAAGGAGTATTTACATTGTGATGACTTCTTAAAATTGAATACAGTTAGTTCCTCATGTTGTGGTGACCCCCAATTTCATTGTTACAAATTGGACATAATTAAAGCATAGTGATTAATCACAAAAACAATATGTAATTATATATGTGTTTTCCGATGATCTTAGGCGACCCCTGTGAAAGGGTCGTTCGACCCCCAGGTTGAGAATCGCTGCTCTAGGGCATCTGAAAGAAACATGGCCCTGCTGACACCTTGATTTTAGCTCATTGGGACTTATGACCTCCTGAACTGTTATATATTTGCATTGTTTTAAGCCATCAAGTTTGTGCCAATTTGTTAAAGAAACAACAGGAAAGAAATACAGGGAGCTACGCTGTCTCTGGTCCCGAACTCTCATTCTGTCTAGTGTTACATTCCTGCCCTCCGTCCAGGCTTCCTTCACTCTCCTGACTCCCTCTTTCTACCCCGCTCAGCAGGAGCCCATTCTTCTTGCCCCGAAGCAGTGAGACTTGAAGTTCTTTTCTGCTTATGGCATATCCCCTTTCATAAAACCACTGTCCCAGCAACTCCTCTTGTGGTTGGCCTCCTGCTCAGCTCTGAGGTTAAAGGGAGAAATGACACTCCCATACCACGGCTGAGTAAGGTATTTTGTCCCTTCAGACTGATGGGACAAAAAACAAAACAAAACAAAACAAAACAAAACAAAAAGCAGAAACTTCCATGAAGCAAATAAAGACACAGTTCTGATGAATGCTATTATTGATGGTGAGGAATTAGAGGAGGCTCACGTGATAGGTGGGGCTTGATATTGACATTAAGGGAAGGAACATTTCTCTGATGACTGCCTGTGTCCCGGGCCAGCAACCCAGGCACGGGTTGGGGCATGGCAGGGCCAGCTCTCCCTGTGCCCTCCTGTCAGAGAAGCAGAGTCCCAGAGGCCTGGCCCAGCATCACTCAGTTTCATTGGGCAGAACTGGTGGGACACATGTTCACTCTGGGTTGCAAGGGGCACAGGGAAAGCAAGAACAGGACTGTCAGAATGGCTAAGAGGAGACCAGACACACATGGGGGTACTGGGCACCCTAAACCCCAAGCAAACTTCTTCTTCTGTTAGTTTAGAAGAGGGGTTGGGTACTGGGTCGGTCATAGTTGGTGCCTGTCCCAAACCTCTCACTTTCACCTCTTGGCTCTCTAGACGTGTTTCTGTCCTGATGTCATGTCTGTTCTGTGCTGTACTTTTTGCTGTCCTCCTGGTGTCATGTCTGTTCTGCGCTGTAGTTTTGCTCACATGTCATAGTCTGGAATCTTTTTCTCTGGTTTGCTTGCTTGAACACTAGGTGTTGACATTCATTCAAATGCCTCATCTAAGGTATCTCGGTCCGCCTCTCCTCCTCAGAAAGTTACCCCTCCCTCCTGGGGTTATACTGTGTGTCACTGTACATCTCCAGCATCCACAGATTCTATTTTATTCTTTTTGCCTTCACTTCTAAAGTGTGAGCATTGAGAAGAGATACATACGTAATAAAATTTTCTTGCCATATGTTCATCCTAAAGCACAGTGAGTGCTTAAATTTTGTACCTTGAACAAATGGTCCAGGTCTCAACTCCAAACAGCCAAGGACAGCTGGGGTCCAGAGTCCATTGGGATGAATGAAAGAGAGGCTCAGGATAAACAGTGAATGCTTGCGAGATGGCTCCAAGTGATGGACCTGGGTGTGTAGCCCATGTTGCCAAAGGCCTTTTGGCTCAGGGAATGGAAGATACCTACAGCCTTTCTGGTGGTGGTGACTGATAAGGGAGATGCTGAGGTGTAACTTGGCTGTTAGTCACCAGAGTTGGAAACACTAATGTCTCTCACAGCAAACAGAGTTGTTTTGAAGTTGGTCCCTGGGACCTGGGCTCATCCGCCTCTCATTCATTGAACACCCAGGACGTACAGAACCAGGGCCTGCCCTGGGCCCGTTCCACATACCTCACCAAGCAGGATGGCTGATCCCCAGGGGAACATGAGGTCAGAGGTCAAAATCCCTGGTCACCTGAGCTGGAAACCATCCAAAAGAAGACAAGAAAATGAAGAGATTGTGGTATCTGAAGCAGAATTATAGAAAATTATGTCACATCCACACAAAGGAATACCAAACAATTAAGCCAGTGACCAGAGAGATCTGGTGCTGGTGCAGATGTGGACATAACTGGGGACAGAAAGGAGCTGCCTGGAGGCCCAATGCATTGGGAGGGCCTGACCTGGGAGCTCAGCAGTGGGCCTGGTCCCAGGGTGCCCTCCCTCACTCATGGGAGGATGTTCTAAGGGGAGCAGAGCGCAGGAACACGAAGTCCTCAGTGAGTCAGCAGGCCATTCCCAGAGGTTCCCAGGCCTCATCCTGAACTCCAAGCTCCTGTCTCCTGCACCTGGACTAGCGTTTCCACAGCAGGTTGGGACACAACAGACCCCAGGGCATGGCCACTGACTCCTCAGCAG